ACGCAATCGTCATACTTGGCGTTCTTCGCCCTCTTTCCGCAACTCCAGCCACTTTCTGGGGGCACTTTGATGCGTCGGGCTGTCTCCTTCCTTACTTTTCCCAGCTGTAATCTCCCGACAAAAGAAATAATAATCTTACACATTAGTAGTTGGTCTCTTCAGGCGTTTCGCTCCAGCATTCGAAATCCAGATACTTCGAACCCAACACTCAAATAATTCCATGCATGACAACGGCAAGGACTGATAGGCCCCACGCGATACGACCTCTTGGTTTGCTGACCATACCGCCGTTCATGAGCAAAGCATCGAGAGGGTTCACCGGGGCTGAAGAGGTGCTTTGCGGTGAGGCCTGGTTCTCAGTCGTTGTCGTTGAAGTGACAATAGTGGTGGGAGGTATGATAGGGGGCGCCTGACTAGATACTGGCGGTATCGCTGTGGTTGCCGGAGGCAGAGGCGCCTGGCTCGACGGCGGCAGTATAATAGGCGTTGATGTTGATAATGATGTTGTTGGTGGCGGCGGCGGTGGAGCGACAGACGTCGTAGCCGGCGGAGGCGGGGGTGGAGGAGGAGTAATGGCGGTTGTTGAAGGCAGAATGATTATCGTTGTGGTAGATATCGTCTGCACTGCCGATGACGTCTGTTGGTTGAGTGCGCCGCAGAGCAAGTTTACCAGGTTTCCGGACAGAGCTTGGCCAAGTATCGTGTTGACCTGTACTTGAACAGACTGACAAACGTCCTGGAGATTACTTTGCATGCGAGTCAGGCCATTTCTGCATTTCTGGGAGCACGTTCCCGTGCTACCAAAGTCGGTGGCTTCGCATCCTTCGATGGGGTTGTTATATGACAAAAGGCAACCCAGCGGAACGGAGAGCTCTGTAATCAGCTGGAAATTAGACAGGCTGAGTGATGTGCTTCCGACGCTGATTGTTGCTGCTGTTGCTGCTGACGCCAAGACTAAGAGCTCGACCAAACACCGCTGAGGGCATTCGAATATCGGCCTCCTCATTTCGGGTGTTTTCGTCCGTCGGCTGTGAATGAGATCGCGTTCTGGCGTGGCGTAGCCGCCGTTGGATGTGTTTGAGATGATTTTCCCACTCGGGCGTTGTTGATTGTGAGATTCTATTCGTATATTGGTTGTAAATGTTTCGTGGCAGATGGTCGAGTCGTCGTCGACAGGACAGTGACGAAGCGGCCAGAAAGACGGTGGCCAACTGAACTTGACAGACCAGGATTTGGCTGGGAGGCACTTGACTTTTGGGGATGGAATGACAGAAGCGTGGCAGTTCGGGCGGCGGGCAGTGAAGGCCAGAGGGTCGAAACGTTTTGCGTGTCAGACAGAGGCTGCTGGGGATGACGGCACAATCGGCTGGGAGAACCACGTCAATGCGGGTCGCAGGGCCGGCAGGGTCCAGAGCTTAGACGACCAAACGGTTGGGTATCCTGGGGCGTTGATTTGAAGGTTTTGGTGTTGTCTGGCTGTGAAGCTGCTGCTGAGGAAGTGCTTACAGATGACGATGGTGTGAAGGTCGCGGGAGTGCGCTCTCTTTTGGGCGAGCTCGTCAATGCCAGCAGGCCGCTTTGGTGTATAGTCGAGATCTGGTGATTGGGGCGGCTTGAGACTAAGAGAGTCGTTGGTGATGAAGTGTGTTTCTTGTCTTAGCCGGCATGGACCATGCGCTGGTCAGACAGGGTTTAGGGGAGCCTCTCTTTTCTACCACATGGGTAGAAGATGGGCGGAGAAATGGACCGTTTGAAGAGAAGAGATCCAAAGGGATGACTGGTCGGTGGGATTATTGACGGCGAGGTTGCCGATCGTGATTCACCGTAGCGAAGAAGGGTTGCACTAGCAGACTAGCAGACGAGCAGACTTTAGGTCGGACCAAGTCGGGCAAGATGAGAGGAAATAAAGAGGCAAAAAGGTTCAGGAGCCGCCTTTGCGCTGTTGGAGGGCGAAGCTTCGTTGGTCTGTCTATCCGTTTTCTCGCCTTCAAAGTGGCATGCAGTCCGGACGGATGGTGTTTGTCCGAATGTGAAGACGTCGCTGATTGGGAGGGTCGGAAGCTGTAAGTCAAGGAGTTGGTTGATGAAGCCACTTGGGCGTGACACCGGGCGACGGGCAGTTGCGTCTGTGTCGGCGTCGGTCCGGCTGGGACTGGGAATACGGCAAGGTAAGATACCTTAAGGTAGGGAGAAGGGACGGAGCGAACAGAGGAAGGGAGAGTATCCGCAGGAGAAGGAGGGCGAGGGTGAGGGTGAAGGGTGAGGGCAAGGAGGTGCGATCAAACACTGCTGATCTTGAGGTTGGGCGATCCGAGGTTTTGTGAAACAGAGTTGCTGCCGTCCGCTGCTCAATGACACCCAAACACGCTGCTGTGGCTCTGGACTTTGAGTTCCCTGGTCAGACAGAAGAGAGACGCGGAGCCGAGTGTTCGGGGACGCAAGGAATGCAGGTGGCCTTGATGGAGAAGTGGGCGCAACCAGATAAGTCATCTGTAGAAAACAGGTTGAAGAAGACTGGACGAACAGATGAGCAGCTCGCTCAGATATGAGGACGGCGAGTGACGAGGTTAGAGAATAGTTGAGGGAACGGGAAGACACTAGTCGACTGCGTCCTTGTGGCTCTATTCGTCAAGAAGACCCTTGTCTTTCTTTCAGTCTTCCCTTCTTCGGGAAAGACGTCAAGAAAAATGTCCGTCATACTTGTTGATTTGCAGCCAACGAGCTGGACTGATGGCATGTCTCTGGATGGATCATGGGAGTTCTCCGTAGGTAAGGTATGTGGTGAACGGGGCAACCCCTGCGCAGCCGCAGTTCCGTGCAAAGGCACAAACGCCAGGGCGACATCTGACAGGTTGCAGCATTTGGGACGTCAACGGAGGCTGCAGAGGCTGCAAAGTCTTGCAAAGAAGCAGGGGCTCCTTGATGAATCCTTGAAGTCCGTGAACCAGTCAGTCTGCAGTTATGATGAGTAAGTGGTGAAAGAGTGGTGGAGTGTTGGCGGGAGGGAGAAGAACGAAACACTTTTGGCGTTTGAAGTCAAGGTGCAGCTAACCCCTTGTGGGTCTGTGATTGGCCTGTGTTGCACCGGGGGGAGGCCCTTCCAGCTGTGGCCTGCCGCCTGCTCACCCAAAGCGCACAGGGCCGTTTGTGGCCAGGTACGCAGTATACATACAGTGGAGGAAGAGCCACAGACTCGTCGGTTGTGCCCGCCCGGGGGCAACTTGGGGGAAGCCATTGGCGCCTGTGATTCGTCCAACAAAAGTCACTGGCTCACAGCTGAGAAGGAAGTCTGGGGTGTTCCCGGCCAACCATTTTCTCACTCTGCGCTCACTCACTCGCTGCTCCTCGTTCATCCAGTCACTGTAAGCTTTTCCTGCCTACGGGGACCTCACGAACTCTGTCCGACGTCGGTCTCATGAACTCTGAGATGACCTGATGTTCATTGGTTGGCTACTTGGTTGATATACTACCAGTGAGAGCTGTGATTCGAGAGGCCGACCAGCAACAGTCGCAGCTCACTCAAAAAGACTCATCCTCAATCCATAGGCTTACGACTACAGGTCGATCGCACTCACTCATCCGCAAACATGTTCGTCCGAAAGCTGCCTTTCACTGCGTTTCTTATAGATGACTTCTTCGTCATCAACAAGACCTCTAGAAGTCTAGAGCAATATCGCGTCTTCGCTAGTACGGACCGCAAGTCTTGCTGACGACTGAATTCATTTACGCAGGTGGACCAATACTTATTCCGACACGCGACCACGTAACGGAAGCCCTTCACGGCTTCCCCCACAACGGATACCTCTTAAAATAGTACTGGGAGCATCGAAGCAAGAAACAAATGGCTTCCAGCCACGTTTAAATGCTGATAAAGCCCTCCCTACTTCGACTTCATACTTATAATTCTCCTGCTCTCCCGGCTCGCATGATGCTCCTCATGTACTGTCTCCTCCAACTGCTTCAGATGAACGAAATGATACGACTCCGCTTATTCTCTAGCTTTGGTCAGAGCACACACACTGATCTAACGGCACCACGTAGCGAGTGAGATGTCGCAACCAGGGAAATACGTCTTCCTCTCGACTCATCTGTGAGTAGGAACAAAGACAAACTCACAGGAATACCTTGTATGTCGCTCTTGGTGAGACCTCACAATCATAAATAATGAGATTAGACGCCCCATGCTGCGCCACTCGTGGCCCATTCGGTTGAGATTAGCAAACCCGGGGAACTGGGCATCGTGGAGAGCGCACTGATGCACATCGCGGCCACATCTACTTCCTTGGTTATACCTTAAGTTACCGTGCCTCAACCTTATCGTTACCGCAGCGCGCCACCACCTCATCATTTCATTTTTCGTGTCGCCAGCCCCGGAAGGTGAGAGGCCTATGATATTGAGAGATTGGGATTCCCTAGGCATTTACGATGAGGCTTCATCGCGTCATGCAAGAGGCTTAGGCAGCAGCATTCTGTCTCGAGCGGGGTGGTGGGTGTTACCCTGGTACCTGCCTGGTTCAGCCATGTCGCATCACAGAGCCACAGGAACGAGACACCAACGTGTACTAGTGCTTTATCGCCGAATCTAACGGGCTCAAATGGAAAAGTAAGACGAGCTGCCTTTAATTAGATCGACCTCGACCTGCAATGATCACACTGGCGCGAGCTGCCATTGGTTCGGTGCCACATAAGCAATCCCCCTGTGGACATGGCTTGTCAAGCTCTCGACGGGAATGGCGCTAGCCCAAGCAGCAGCCCTGGCACTCCTCGACCGCCACCGTTGGACCAATCCAACTCTGATTGATGGTTTTTTGAGTTGGATCTCGTTGCCTACCCGAGCCCGACATCCTTGATCCTGGAGTTGCTGTCAGCCTCCTATTCCTACCCTACACTACCTTAATTCAATAAGTTAGACTACATGCCTCCTCCTTCTGCGGACTCACGTATTTCACCGTTCTTGAAGCTACCATGCCTTTGAACGCTGGCCAGCGTCGTCGCCCATCATGCCTGGTCCCATCGCGTCGACCCGCGACCTCTTTGTAGCCCAGCCGAGGAGCATTCACCGAAAACCCGTTGCTTCGGCGCAGTACGAAGTTGTTGGGGTGCAGGATGATGATGATGAGCAGGACAGAGGGCTCCGGGGTCACGATAACAGTGTGCGACACCGCGAACACCCGGCCTTGGACGAGAACAGAGCGTTTTTGGATGAGCCTGTCGATTTCAGCGATCATCACAGACACGATGGCGATCACTACTTATCCCCAGAACATGGTCTGGCGTCTGTGATTTCGCAGAACAAAAACAGCCCTCACGTATCCGAGTTTGGCTATAGCAAGAGCCCAACGCCATCGCAATGGTCCGAGGAGTCCCGGCCTCGCATGTGGAACCCTCTGTGGCTGAGAAAGACGGTTCTCATCACGTTTGCGGTGTGTTTTGTCGCCATGCTTCTCACGACGGCTCTACTCTACCACTTCTCCGTACAGAATCATGGATTGAGCACACAGCAAGAAGTCAATCATTATGGCTGGAAGTATGGACCTACAGCTGGTTAGTATTGAGGTCTAAAGACAATCAAGTTGCATCAAACACTGACATGACATCGTTGCCAAGTTCTCGTCATCGTGGCTGCTTTGTGGCGACAGGTAGACTACGCCAACAAGATCCTGATGCCGTGGAAGGAACTACGTAGTGGTCCTTCTGACGTGCATAAGACACTTCTTCTAGACTACGTCTCACCACTGGTGACGACCAGTTTCTGGAAAGCAATCAAGAATCGCCATTGGGCTGTCGTTGGCAGCATCGCTGGCTGGGCTCTGATCCTCCTCACTGTAAGAAGCCAACTGGAGACAACGGGAAAGATGGAAGGGCGAGAACTAACGCTAATAGACCGTCTTCTCCACCGGTCTACTCATTCTCGAGCCAACGGAAGTTACAAGCGATAACGTCGATATTGTGATGACGACCAGCTTCGACGCTGGTGGATTCGATATTCTAGACATGGGACCGGGTCCTGCACAGGTGTACTACGCCATCAACTTCCAAAATTTGCCTTACCCGTCCGGTACATCAGAAGACATGGTCATTCCCCAGCTCAATGCGATGGGGAATGGTCGTCCCGATGCCAACTTTACCGCCACAACACCAGGTGCCAAGATTGGGTTCAGCTGCGAGACGCTGCCCATACAGAACGCGACCAAGACCTCGCTGCCTTGGTTCAGCATCAACGGGGCCTTCTGGGTCGCCAACATCACCACGCCGGAGTGCAACATTACCCGCGCCATCGTTGCCGCCGGCCCGGACCATAACATCTACGCAAAGCGAAACGCCACGCAGAACTACCAAGCATGGTACCAGGACTACACTTGCAATAACGGTGTGGACTGGAGCGCACCGCTGAACCCTCCTCTGACCAAGTACACCACCGAACAGCTAACCAATACCAGCCTTCCGCATCGCATGCTTTTTACCGTAGCGGACATGAGGTTTTCTCCCATGGACACGAGGCGGAACGGCCCCGCGTACATCTACATGGAAAAGATTGTGGCAGTCATGTGCAAGTATGATTACACCATGAGCAACTACGAAGTCAAATCGACTACCCTTGCCGGAGCCAAGTCAGAGGTTGCTCTGCAGAACGCCATTCAAAACACGAATGTCAATGGCAGTATCGCTGGCTTCCCGAACGGGTATTTGGGTCTCGCTGTCAGTAATTCTGCGGAACAGACCAAGATTGGCGATGGAGGCGTGGACTTTGTCTTATCGACATCCGTCCCGACCTTCTTCCTCATGATGAAAATGAAGCGTGGTTTGTCCACGATAGGATCTTTCATGGACACGGACCTTCTAATTTCCACGGCATCTGAGGTCTTCAAGGGAATAGGCGCTCAGGTTTTGTCTCAGACGTCCCTAAAGCCTTCTAATACGACGACGCAGGGTTCCATCACATACCTGGAGAACCGCCTGCATGTCAAGGGCCTCTCGACAGCCTTGATGTGTTCCTTTTTGGGAATTCTGACTCTCATAAGCATTGCTATGATCTTCCTCCGGCCTCAAAACGTTGCACCGAGAGAGCCAGGATCGATCGCGGCGAGTGTCACAATACTGGCGGCGAGTCCGGACTTGAACAAGCTGTTAACTGGCCTGGGGTCATCACGCAGAAGTCTCATCCGAGAAACGCTATCTGGGTTTCTGTTCAAAGGGTCTCTCCGACCTGGGCCAGAGACCACATACACCATTGAGCCTAGCCATGGTCAAATGGAACCCTCACGTAGCGCAGTGCCGAGGGAACACCAGTTGATTTCTTGGTGGCGCCCTTTGGCTGGGGCCCCGTGGTTCCTGGTAGTCAGTGTCTTTTTACCTCTGGCGGCTATTGCAGCGTTGGAAATCATACAGCGCATTTCAGACAACCGAGATGGGTTCATGGAGGTGGGCACGAAGACCTCGACCGTCTTGGCGACATACATACCTGCCGCCGTGGCCATCTCCTTGGCTGGTATGTACTCGAGCTTCGAGGCTATGGCTGCCATATTTGCGCCATTTGCCGCGCTCAAGAAGCGGAACGCCATTGCCAGCCGCTCCGTATTCATGAACCTCGTCGGCAGGATGGCTCCTCACGCCATATGGGACTCTATTCGCTCAGGGCATTTCGGCGTCACTGTCATTCTTATGGCTAACATCATGGCTGGATTCCTCACCATTGTTGTTTCGGGTCTTTACAGCGTCTTGGCCGTGCAGCAGGTTGAAGGCGTTGCCCTGCAACAGATGGACGCATTCCGGCTTGACCAGACTACTCTCTGGGCCGAAGATAACCAAGCGACCGCAATCACATCGTTGATAGAGTACGTCAACCTGCCAGATCCAAAATGGACGTCTGGTGATTTGGTTTTCAACGAGATCAAACCCATGGGTCTTAGCAATCAGGCCATCGCCAATGGCCAGGTTCCGCTGTCGGCCAAGATGACGGGAATCCGCGGCAACTTGAATTGCTCCGTCATACCTGCCGAGCAACGCGAAGTTCAGCCGGTACTGTTCGACAGAAGTACCATGGAGGTTCGTCTCGGCGGCATGGCGAGTTCGGTGAGCGTCAACAATCAGACTGCCCTACTTGCCATAAATACCACCCTTCCCTGGATGTGCGGACGCAGGCCATCAAACACGACCTCCAAAACGTGGATGCAATACTTTCAGATCCCAAGCTCGGGGTCTCCGGTATATCTTGGAAAAACTTCCATCATGATTTGGAGTTTGGGAAACTCGAGTCTCGTCTATGGTGACGGTGCAATTGATACGAGCCCATCAGCTGGAAATGGCTGGCCGACGACCGACTATGATATCGGAGGTATGGGCTGTCCTACGGTAGCCGTCACATTTGGCACCGCGAGGGCCACCCCCCGGAAGGAAAAGTATAGGAACACAACGAGGACCAACTTTGACGTTGAGAGCGACCTGGCGACAATCGTGTGCCATCAGAATATTCAGGAGATCGAAGCCAACGTCACGTTCAACGCTCCGGATATGACACTCAGCAGGACGTCGCCGCCGTCGGTGGACGAGTCAACGATTGAGCTCCTACGTGCCCCAAAGTCAGACACGACGTCCTTTGAGTTCTCCCTCAACAAATTCTTTTTGGACTTTTCGACCTCGGCCCGGAACGTGACGATTCAAGGACCAAACGGCAGCAACATGACTGGTTTCGAGTCTCTCATCGATCCTTTCACGCGAGCGCTCGTCACGGGTAGGAACGGGCGGCCAATCGAGGAGCTAGCCGGCGAGAAGAACTCGCAAAATCTGATTGAGGCCTCGAACGGCCTATACAAGACGTACATTGCGCAAGCCATCGCGGCTAACATGCGCAACGCGACGAGCAGCACGGGATCAAACCGGCTGCCCACGTACCAAGGCCTCCTGGTATCTCAGAGCGCGCGACGACTACACCAGAACGCCGGGCCCAAGATTGCTCTACAGGCGATGCTGGGCGTCATGGCGCTGTGTATCGTCGTGTCGAGGTTGCTGATCGACGTCAACGGGGTGCTGCCTCACGATCCATGCTCGATTGCTGGGACGGGAACGATGCTTGCTGGGAGCGAGATGGCGACGAGGAGGGTCGTTCCGGAGGGGGCGGAGTGGAGGGGCGACGGGGAGCTCGGTCGGGCTGGGGTGTTTGGTGGTGCTATGAGGTTTGGGATTGGGTGGTGGCGGGATGGAGGTGTTGATAGGTTCGGAATTGATGTTGAGGAGGAGAAGGCGTGATCATGATTCTCATCCGTGGATGGATGCAAGGAAGCGGATTTGTCTTCGAATATATATACCCGTGCTCTATGAAGCAATGAACGAAATGATAATCGATCGTATAAGACTTTGACCACCCCTATAATGAAAAGAATTGGATTCGTCAAGCCACTTCAATTAATGGCAATATCTTGAGATTCAGAGTCGTCGAAGACTTCCCAACGATGAACACCAAGCTCGAAGCAACGCATTCCATCATCATCACCCTTCCTCCGCGAGCATTCTCCCTTTTCGCGGATTTCGATCCAGTCAAACATACCTTGAACGATAGCTGGACTCAGGCTATGTAATACTGAGCCACTTAAGTTAAACATCAAGTTGTATACTTTTCAATAACTACTCTCTGTTCCGACTTCCACGTCCATCATCCTCCTGATGCGGGGACTTCTCTCGATACGACACGAGGTTAGCGCAGTCTTCCCCAAATACGAGCAGAGGTTAGACTCATTCTTGGAACCCACCTGTGTCGGAGATTATCCAATCAGATACACTCAAGACACCATAAGCCTGTGGATCCTGTCCGGAGGCGACCGGGGTAGCTCGACGTCGATCGCGGGTTGAATGAGCGCCTCATGACCGGAGGGGGTTCCCGGAGGAGTGGGCCTCGTAAACTCCGGGAGGATCAAAAAGGGCGCGCTCTTGCTGACGCATGTTTTGTTTTCGTCCCTGCGGCTCTGTTTCCTCCTTTCGTATCTGCTGTCAGCCGAGCATCGCCGCCTATCTCCATGGTGAACCTGCCTCGACCTCGTTAGACCATCTAAGCCGTGTCCGGTCCCTTGAGTATCGTGGACCTGCAGGGCGCCGATCGAGCCAGTCCAATCCGTGTACAGGATCAGATCATTGCAAGTCACCTCAGCTAGGCTTGCCGGGCTATCGATATGTCTGCCTTGGAAACATCTCCGGGCGATGACGTGCGCAAGCGCAGGGCTCATAAGAAGTCCAGAAAGGGGTGCGGAAACTGCAAGTTGCGGCGGGTGAAAGTACGTATCATATCTAAGGATTGAGTCCATCTTGAGCATTCATCTTGCGCACTCCTGTTCATGTCAGCGAGTCTACCCCTATCATTATTCGTGCAACCACCCCTCATAGGGACCCTGGAGATAGGTCTTTACAAGGGACTCTAACTGGGATGACTATCCATCTTTGGCTTTCTGTTTCCTGTTTATAGTGTCTAACAATAGACATAGTGCGACGAGACTAAACCCCGATGCGTGAAATGCGTCTCGTACGGCGTGATATGCTCCTACGCTCCCGCGTCCGCGGCGACGGCCCTCTCTGTGGAAGTGGCGTTTAGTGTTGATCTCTCGTCTGCTTCAACTACTCCCACACCTCCTCAAACGAGAGCTGGTCCCGCTCCTCCATCTATGGGAGCCGCTCCGCCTGCTCAGGCCCCCTTCCCGCCCCGTTACGTCCCTCCGCCGTTACCACAAACCGGATCCATGGAAAGCCCAGACGCGGCGTACCTGTTGACCCCCACAGACGTCCGCCTTCTCGAACGCTTCCAGAAGAGGACGGTCCTGAGTCTCGGCTCAGCAAAGAGTAGAACAATCTATGAGAAAAAGACCCTCCCTATCGCATTCTGCGTAAGCCCCTGAACCCTCCCTTCACCCAACACTCTTCCGAGTACATCGTAGACTAACAAACACCCAAGCACCCCGTCGTAATGCACACAGTAATAGCAATGACCCACCTCCACGACCTAACGCTCCTCACCCCCTCCAACACCCCGCCCTCCCAGGCAACCCAAACAGCCCTAGCCTACCACTGGTACCGCGGCGTCTCCCTCCTCCACCGCAAGCTCTCCAACCCCATCCTTCCCAGCGAGCGCGACGCCCTCTGGCTCGCGGCGGCCTTCATCAGCGTCGCCGCCTTTGCAAACGTCGCCTCCCTCGCCGCGCCCCGCGACGCCTGGCCGCTGAGGCAGGGGTGCCCCTCGGACCTTGACTGGCTCAAGCTGGGCGACGGGAAGAAGCAGGTGTGGAAGATGACAGATACGATACGCGCGCCGAGGGGTGTGTTTGCGGATGCGGCGAGCGAGTTGTATGCTCACCTGATGAAGCCCGTCGAGGCACCGTGTTGCAGCATCAATGATGGACCCGAGGAAAAAGGGAAGACGACGGATGCATGGAGTCCTCCCCTCCCAGAAGGTTTCGCAGACCTCTTCGACCTCATCCAGGACCCAACCCACGCGAACCCGTACTTCACGGCCGCCGCCTCCCTCGTCGCCTGCTGGCGCGTACCCCCGGCGGTGACAGCGGACCCGGACTCGATCGAGCTGATCAAGCCTTTCATGGGCTTCATCAGCAAGCTGGACCCGCGGTTCCGGCGGCTGCTCGAGGAGAAAGACGAGCGGGCGATGCTCCTGCTGGCGTATTGGTTCGCGCGGGTGTGTGATCGAAAGCACTGGTGGATGTGGAAGCGCGCCGTGCTGGAGACGAGGGCAATTTGCGAGTATCTGGAGGCGAGATGGCGGGGGAGGCGGGAGGTGAGGCTTGTTGCCTTTCCGAGGATGATGGCGGATCAGTGCGGGTTGTTGTGATGTCCCGTCATGTTGGTGAAGCATCTTGGGCTGTGAGTTGAGATGAGTGAGGATGGTCATTTCACTAGAGCGGTGAACTAAAACTTGGAAACACTGAGAGTTGAGGCTGGTTGGAAAAGTAAATATAAATGATGATTGAATGAATGAACAAGACACGCGCAAAAGCGTGCCTCCTGGGAAGTGTACATCTTGGTATCGCTCAAACCCAATGCTAATTGACCAGAAAAATCATATCGCCGCTCAACGCCCAATTACACAAATACCAAGTGCAAGTTCCTTACGCGCCGACCTTGACTTCCTGGCTGTTAGCGGTCTTCTCGCCGTTCTCCTCATCTTTGGCTTTCGCTGCGCCATCTTCGCCCGCAGCAGAGTCGCCGTGCGGATATAGCGGCTTGCTGGGGTCGTAGCCAACAGACTTGACTATCCCCAAGCCTTTGGTCCTGCCCTCTCGGAACAATAACCGATCACCAGGGGCGAGGTACTCGGGTCGCTGGACGAACCGGAACGCCACCGTTGCTCTGTCGCCAGTTCGAATGTACGGGCGGTCAACATCAATTATCGCGCACGTCTGCGAGACTGGTCCAACATGGAGCATGGCCTGATACTTTGTCTTGATGGTGGTCGCGTGAGAGAGAATCAAGACTAAAGACATATCAGCTTGAGCACCGGATTGTATACTTGTTCGATGTGACTCACCTTCTGCTATGAATTCTCTGTGAACCTTGGGAGCTGGCTGTCCCTCGAGCTTGGGCAAAACAACCATGCCTTTCCTGACATCCTTACGCCGGACTTTCTTCAAGGCGAAGGACGCCGACTGCCCCGCAGAAGCAGCTGGAACCCCCAATCGCTTGCGTTCGATGGAACGAATACTGGTGGACGTGAACTGCCCCAAGGAGTCGGGACCGATGAGCACGTTGTCACCGGCGTGGATCACACCGGCCTTGATGATTCCGGAGACAACTGTGCCGACGAATGGAACCGAAAATGTGTCGTTGATGTGGAATTCAAAGGGCGCCTCGGAATCATAGCGTCCGTGATGCGGCAAGATGTTGAGGAATGTTCGGACCAAGTCGAGGTTCTCACCCGTGACATTGGAAACCTGGAAGACGGGGCATATCCTCTGGCTGATGAACTGGGTGGCCGTGTTGATGCACTCCTCACGGTCCTTGATGAAGATGGGAATCTTTCGCGCTCCTGGACTCTTCAGAATCTTGGTAATCTGGCTGATGGTCTGCTCGAGAATCTGAGGTGGGCAAATATCAATCTTGGTAATTACGACCATCACCGGGACGTTGAGTGCCAGAGCAATGCCCAAGTGCTCTTTGCTCATGCCAATCAGGCCGTTGTTGGCCGCAACCATCAGCAAGCAGTAGTTGGGGCTGCTCGACAACAGACCAAACACGGTCGTTCGCAGGTACTTTTCGTGACCTGCCAAGTCAGTGAAGGTAATGACCTTGGCGCTGCGTTTTCCAATCTCTTCCCACGACAGTTTTCCTGGTGATCGTTAGTGAGTCATTCTAACGACAGAAGATAGAGAGGTGCCTACTCCCAGGAGTATCAGAGACAACAACCTCTCCAACAGTGTCGAAGCCTAGGATCTCCATGCCGACGGAGCTGGTTCTGCCCGTCTCAATCTCGTGCTTATGGCGGAAGAGGTTCACTCGTGCGCGTCCTCTGCCATCGTCGAGGTCACCCTTGACAAGGACTCCCAGAAGAGAACTCTTTCCAGCGTCGACTATGGTGTGCGTGTTAGCCTGTTTTCACTGCTGTTCTGATGCTGCGAAGAGACCAGCTCGCCCACCAAGTAGATCATGGGCAGACGCAGAGGGCACATACCGTTGCCAACCACGGCTATTCGGGTCTCAATAACATCCTCTACTGTTGCTGGAGTCTGGCGAATCATGATTTTGCCGCTGCAATGGCTGTCTTTGCCAGACTGAGCGCTCGGGGCCTCGACATCGCCACCGATGTTCTTGGTGATGAGCGTCTGGCAGTCGGCTCGTATCCTCTTGGCCGCCTCCTTTAATCTGGTGTATGCAGCGTTCCATTGCTCTATTGACAATGCCATCGACTCGCCGTTGTTCTCGAAACCAAGCTCGAACACGGCCTCCCCGTGGCCCTCAGCTATCCTTTCCTGGAGCACTCCCTCCAACTTCTGAAGTGTGTCGTCATCGGTGCCCAGAAGGAGGTCTTTCAGCCGGGCGCTAGGAGTAGGCTCGGCTAGGTCGAGGTTGTCAAAGAGCTCGTCGAGTTCGGCATGCTGATGTTCAGGGACTTCAGTAACCTTGGAAGTGTCGGTTGATTTGGCGCTTGGGTATCGTAATGCCTGCTGCTTCTCGACGTACTCGGCAAAGTCGCTAAGAGCCTAGAGTAGAGTGGTCAGCGACGATCAGGGCGAAGAGGCATTCGAACTCTTTGGGATCTCCATACAGCTTCGCCCTTACGCTTCTCATGCGGTAATGACTTTATGTTCTTGCTCGTCATGGTGGGGTGATGGGAGCAGCTATATCCGTATCCTAAGGATCATTGATACGTGTCAAAAGCAGTACGATGGGGTTGTGAAAGATATCTGATGGAATTGATCGACGGGAGTGCAATGCAGCGTGTCAAGGCTATATAGAGGGAGGGGCGGATTTTAGTTCCGACAAAGTTGGCGTCGCGACGGGACAGTGAAAGGAGTCATCGATTGACTCGGAGCGGCGAAGTCTAACGGCAGGCAGTGCCGCAGTGACAGTCGAGGCCACTTCCACCTCCACACCACGCCCGGGTGACAGAATGCCCCGCTGCTTTACTTTTAGGCCGCTTATTCTGGGGCCAATTATCCCCTGCCGGTTTCCTGAAATGTATCTATGTTATATGCAACAGCCCTCGCAACTAGCGCCTTTCATACGAGGATCCCGAATCAGGACAAGTTCTGACCTGCTGAGAATTGAGCTGAATCACTTGGTTTGGCCTCGCCCAAAATACAGTATCATACCCAGATTTTTACAGATACATAGAGCATTAAGGCATGGTAGGCGTGGTTGGAATTCAGAGATGGGTGAGTCTAAAGCAGCGTTGACATCATGAGTAACTCGGCGGGGCTTATCGATAAGAGCTTTGGCACGGGCCAACACCAACCTTCCTACCTTATGCTGTGGTGACGCCTGGATGGTGGTGGATTTACCTACTAAGGTAAGGTCATTGCAGAATGCGGAGCCTCGGATTGTGTCTTGACTGAAGTATCCGTAAGATACCTAATCACAGAATGGCGGTTCTATCAATCTTCAGCCATGGCGACCCGCATGGCTGGATACACTCACCACAAAGGTCGCGGCAAACGGAAGTGGAAGTTTGTGTGACTCAGGCACTCAATTGCTTGCTTGTGAGTTGATTTGCGGCTGTACCCTGTTTGCTGCGCCTCTTGCCGGACCTGATCAACTGCTGCCAACCAGGAGCAAGAAAGAGTCATCAAAGTGTTCGGAATAGCACATCTAGAGCTTTCGAAAATCCAATTAAATGGAATAGAGAAACATAAAGCAGGGTGCGCTGAAGCGGGCTCCATTGCTAGGAATGTCTATTTGAACTGCAAACGACGAGATTGAGTGTATGGTTATAATGGGTAAGTCTGCCCAGCTGTTCCTCAGCCATGATAATGAAGCGTCCTAGTGGCCCTGGCTGCACCATCGTACCAATACGCAAGTTGTCCCAGGCTGTAGTGGAGTAGATTCTGCAACAGGCCCAGGGGTGCTAATGTGGTCTCGGGATGAGGGTATATGGAGAGAGACCGCATTGATGATATTCGTATGAAGAGTTACATCTTTTCCTCTCCGGTGTCGCGACAAGAGACGTCAAAACGCGTTGTGAGCGGTGAGATGTTGTCGTCGGCTCGGGTGTACTTGGTGTTGACTCAAAACCAAAGCCCCTTCGCGGCGATGGTTGATGCGTGATCCCCCAATGGTTATGAGGACGTTTGAGGCGAGATGAGAACCACGCTATCACCTGCGAACTTGTTAGACTTTTGACTAGTTCCTCAGATGTGCTGGAACTTACCACGAACAAAGAGCATTTCCGACTTTCTGCTGATGGTCTGCGATATGCTGTCAGCATTTGAAGAGACATCAAGCTCATCGAGCCTTCTCACCTTCACTTCCTCATCTTCTTCATCCTCATCCACCACATAGATGGTCTCCTCGACCTCACCCAGAACAAGGTTGCAATGACTGTCGTATGCCTGTGATACGAGTTAGTATGCCTCATGCAACTCCGAGACACGCATCCCAACTCACATGAAGTCTGCCCTTAAGCTCACGGTCACCTCTCAGCTTGACGAAAACCATTTCGTCGAGCAGGAGCTTGACGAGGTCAAGAGGCTCCTGGACATGCGTGGTGTCTTCGCCGGCGTCCGCCATGGTGATTTGAAGAGTGAAGTTCGGGTCGAAGAGAAGGGAGCAGGGGGCTCTGTGATGAGATGGATCGGTGCGGTTCCTTGATATGAAGACACAGCGATTCAACTGGGATGGCCGAGAGGCGATGGGTGGGGCCAGCTACAGGAGGAATTGTGCATTTTGCGCGGGCAAAGCTCAGCTGCACATCATTGGTCAAACCCTCTCGGAGTCGGCAGAGAGATAGTCCGGCTGCTCAGCCCACAATGAGATTGAACCGTGCCACGGCACACCGGAAGGTGGGCCAGGAATGGGTCTTGCCCCAGGTCTGCGTGGAGCTTCCCGTCCCTTGTCCGGGATGGCACGGTTAGAGGGGAAGGGAGCAGGGCACTAAAGCAGGCACTTGCAGCACTTCTATTGCAACTTGGAGCGGGCAAACAGGCACTGGCGGGCCACAAAGACAAGGAGGATGGCCGATGGATGAGGAGGAGGAGGCGGCGGCAAGCAACGGCGGCGGCGGCAGCGGAAGAAGCAAAGTTGGGGAAGCTGGGCTGTCGGGGAAAACGCCTCGACCTGCGTAAGCTGTGCTTGGGGGAGCTGTGCCTTCCTCCATGGCTTGCCGATGTGGTACGGTACGTCCCCCTTCACAGTGAGGGGACAGCTTTTTGTTTGTCCTTTTCACTCAGCAACCTCCCCTCACGCGAGCAAAACGGTCGTTCAGCCACATCTTTGAAGAAACACAACTTCCATTTGGCCGTGCCATTGGCTTCGAAGCATAAGACATGATTCGATACAGACCTCGCAACCTTCCATTATGATACCAACTATTGAGGCCAAAGGCCTTCGACAGCTGCTGCGGCATCAAGGTCCCCCTCGCGGCACGCCCTCGAAAATCTTGGCTGCCCGATTACGAAGATGCTACGGGCATCTGCCCCCTTTTCCCATATCAACAGCTCCCGCCAGAATCCTAATTCCACGAAATGGGCTGGACATATCCACGAGATGCATGTCCCAGTCGCATAAGCTCAGCTTCGACACCTCGGCCCCTGCGATCGAGTCGCGCTCAGATCAATCTGCCGACGCGCATCTCGCAGATTTGCTACGAGCGGTTCAATCACAGGATACAACCCAAATAGTGAGGAGTGTCAAAGGCCTAGCATGTCACCCAAGGCCCATTGAGGCGGCAGACGCGTTGCAAAGGCTGCCACCGACTACATTTTCGGAAATCGTGCGCTCCCTAGACCCCTCTCGCGTCGGCCCTCGCAGCAATGCAACCCACGGTTTGCGTATCGAGAATGGACTTGGCCAGTACAGCTCTCTTGCCTCGGTCGCTGATCGGTTCGGTGTTCCCAAAATCTACAAAAGCACCTTTCAGTCATTGCGTACGCTATTCGGTCTACGATCCTACCATGGCAGCGAGCCTTCTCGACTCGACTACGTCGTTCTCTTAAGATGCGCCGGTGCCGCATCCGATGTCCAGGCTGCCAAGGAAATTTGGGATGTGACGAAGGGGGAGGAAGATAGCCACCACAGGAATGGCCAGGACTATACCGAATACTTCAAGACTCGATTTCTCACAGACCCAGCCTACTCGCACAACGATAAGGCCAGGCTGCGAGTGCGACTCCGTGATTTACATGGCCGTAGGAAGAACATCAAAGACACCCGGATCTTGTGGCCCCTCGAGGGACTGAGACTTAGCCTCGTTGCCAACAGGAGGTTCACCTACGGCCGTGCTAGTTGGGAACCGACTCACGACTTACATCGCCTCCTCAGCTTGCCCGCCCCTGTCGGACGACTGAATGCATTCATCCGCAAAAAGCACAAAGTGGTGGACGAAGAGTACTACTGCGCGTACCTAGTAGCCTGCGCACGCGCTGGCTCAGTCAGGGAGATGACTCGAATTCTTTATAAAGTATGGGGCATCCTCATCACCGACAGAGATCATCGAGCAGCAACGATTGTCAAGGCCAACAGGGCGGACAGTATCAGGCGAACACCGACGCCAACACAGCCTTTGATCAACGCCATCGTGCAGTCTTTCGGTTGCACTGGTCATGTCATTCTAGCCAGAAAACTAATCGAGTATATCTCTGCAGAATGGGGCATCCCTATACCGCCAGATACCTGGTCGTCGCTCCTGGAGTGGACCTACCTAATATCTTCTAAACCGGTCACCCGAGAGTACAAGACTATGAGCGACAAAAACAGGGTCGTTCGGTCCAACGACGTGTTGGCTGTATGGGACGCCATGACGGCCAATCCCCATCTGGGAAAGCCCGGCATCCGTGACCTTGACATTTACACTAGGTCGCTGGTTGCTTCTGGTAAGCTGGATGAGGCTTGGGACTCCATCAGACATGCATGCGCCGAGTACGACTCACTTTGCAAGGATGTCGAGGCAACTCTGTTTGAGACCCTTTTCCCATCGCCACCGCCAGCTTCAATATCTCGTCACCATCGACTAAAAGCACAGCAACACATGTCATGGTACTCCATCCAACGCTCGTGCCAGCAATGGTTGCGGCAGGCCAGCGTACGCTTACGCCGCGAGCCCGCGCTGGGATCCCAGATTATCCCTGACTTTGTCAACGATTTTCGCCGTTTTCTCCCTGATCCGATTACGTACTCGACGTATGGAGGCACTGTTAGGATCCTGAACCAAGACATCGCCGCACCCAAAACCAAATGGGTAAAGCAGATTGTTCGCTCTGAGCCAACTCGGAGACTGGCTCCCGATCCAAGCCGGCCAAAGGTTTCTAAACCAGACGGGGCTGCAGAGGATGCGGAAGCTGTACCCATTGTCACCGAGGCGGGCGACCCAGTGTATGAGAGCATGACGATTACCCTCAGACGATCAACTCGAAGGATGGTCCGCCAACGAAGGGAGGTCAGATTTGGAGAGCAAGAGAATCGTCTACGATTTGAGCTTGGTAAGTCGGCAAGTCGGGGGGTTGTGAATGAAGGTGAGGCGATTAGCACGGTTGAAGCTCTGAATTCGCAACGGTTACCACAGACCGGTCCCCTGTTCCGAAAGGAGGTCTTAAAGGCCTTGGTGTGGTAGATGGCAGAAGGCGATCCATTTGGCAAGAGGAATCTGGAAGACATGTCGAGAGGACCCTGTCTGGTAGATGGACTCCGATAGATGATTCAATGAATTGAATTCCAATGTCATGGAAAAGATTTGTGTTCTGATGCGTTGCTACTGCAATACTTCTATCAATTGGGTACCGATGAATAATTGGAGATGTAATCTGTTCCCATCATCTGGTGTACCTCGTCTTCATTCTGTAACTGCAACGCTGATGATTTTTGTACCTCCGGCGATATATGTTGGTATCTACCCAAAACACGTGGAGTCCATGCAAAAACGCCTGCTCATGATCAAGGGGGTGGTGGATGGGGGAATATGAGATGCTAGGTAGGATATGCCTTGTTTTCTTTTTCAAATCCATGCTTTACCATCAACTTCTCTTTGCTCCTCCCCCTCTTTTTCTTCTCACTCTCGTGACTAAGATGTCCCATATTTTTGCGCAGCTTACTTACGCCTTGGTCTCCTCTTCGGCCTCGACCTTTTCCAGCCGCAAGTCGTTGAGGACCATGTACCTGCTCAATGAGATCCATCCATAGCGGAACCAGACCATCTGGCTCTTGTGCGCCGTGGTCATTGCGCTCCACGCCGTGGCCCAACCGCCCTTTGCGCCCAGCTCGCTGAGGAACACGAGCGCCGTCGGGTGGTAGTTGTCGTCTTCCTCGTCCTCGTCATCGCTTTCGTCGTCCTCCTTCTTTGGCTTCTTGGGCGGTTTCGGGGGGTTGCTGCCGGCCGTGGTTGCCCAGGAGAAGAGCGTGGGGATGGCGTCGAGGAAGTTGGTGTACTTGCGCGCAAAGGGGACCGAGGTCAGGGTGTAGAGATCGACGGGGGAGGGCCAGCGCGGGTTGGTAGAAAGGGCGGCGATAAAGGCGCGGGCACCGTGGTATAGTGATATGTGGTTCGGGTGGGAAGAGACGCCGGTCGAGTCAAAGGTGATGAGGACGTCAATGTTGGCGTCGGGTTCCTCGCCAGCGGCTCGCTGGCGGGCGAGCTGCGGCGCAAAGGCGCGGCCGAGGAGGGTAGAGATCTTGGTCTTGTCCCAAACGTTTGTCATGGAGTCCTGAAAGTCGCTGGAGGTGCCGGGAGGCGGTCAGATTAGCTCGTCCAGGGTCTGGAGTGGAGTTGAGGGGCAGTGGGTTAGGAGGGGGAATTGCTCACGGGCTGTCAATGACGAAGACGTCGTGTTCCTGCTGCAGACCGAGCTTCATGCCGCTCTTGATCAGCTCCTTCTTGCGAGTCTCGCCCAAGCCGTCGGCGTTGCCTATACAGTTGCCCCTCTTGTCAGCCACGGCGTCCTTTTGCCCCTGCAACAATGTCCCCAAGAAGTTTGCTGACCTGAACTCAAACACAGAATCTTGACATGATTGCCTGTATCCGGTTTGGTGAGGGCCAAAACTGTTGGCGCAAAGAACATGGCTTCATCATCCGGGTGTGCAATCAAGAGACAGATGCGTTTGTTCTCCAGGGTTGGGAGTCTCGGCGTGATCAACGGGACCAGGTATATATACAATGCAGGCGCAACAGCCACCAGCAAGGCGCCGAAGAGCATTATCCAACCCATTGTCAACTACAATTGTCGCAAATTCCAACACCGGGCCGCTCTGGTATACGATATCGTTTCGTCGGTGAGGAGGTTTCGAGTTCCCCAAGGTGGGGTTATTTTCGGGAGGAGTATTTCGAGGATGCGGTGTGGCGTGTGTCGGCGAGTCGCAGCCTCGCGCAGAAAGATGACGGGTCCGAAGAGGTCGTAAAAGGTGTATGCTGAGACGGAAGAGTTCTCAGAGAAACCCAAGAGAGTCGCAAAGCAGCACTAGATACTCGATGGAGGTCACGAGGCAAGCAGCATCGCGCGGGAAAGAAGAGCAGAAGCGTGAGATGCCACCTTGCGATTTTGGGGGACCCTGGTCTAATCTCGGAGGAGCTTCTTAGCGACAAC